CTGATTTCGGAGTTGCAGTGGTATTACGATGTTGCGTGTTTGCGTCATAACCCGCTGCATACTGGAGTTAATCAAATCAAGCAAATTAGAGTTAATCAAGGAGGTGAAGAAAGCAAACAGACCAAATGATCAAAATGTATATATAGTTGAGTTATATGCTATCATGATTGCATTAGAATTAGAAAGGAGGACAAAATAAGTAAAGTTTTAATTGGAAGTAATTCATTGTCAGCACTGTACAGTCTAAGGACAGGTAGGCTATGTCCAATAGCCGTCAGGACCTGTTGCAATATTGACAACATAGCCTATACAAGAGTAAAGGAAAAATGTAATGAGATTCGACTGATTTGGACCCCAGCTCATATAGGCATTTTGGGCAATGAGAGAGTGGATAAATTAGTTAAACAAGCAATTAAAAAAAGAGAACATTGAAGTAAATATAAAGATGTCAAAATCTGAAGGGAAAAGTATAGTTTGGAAAGAAGCTGTGAGAGAATGGCAACGTCAGTGGGACAGGGAAGCTAAAGGAAGACATTGGGCGCCGCTAAGGGGGAGAAAGTTAGTACGATTCTAAGGGCCCATGCACTTTTGGGGCCCCCAGAGATCTGTTTTATTAGTAGTAACAGTAGTAGTAGTAATGTAATAGAAATTATAAATGTATTTACCAAATAGTTACAAATAAAACAAAATTATGGCTTATTTCTGCATTTCCAGCCAAATTATCTCCCCCCATTCACTGCATGGTTTCGTCCCGTCCTACATAGCCTAGAGTCACGAGTGAGATCAGATGGTAAACTGTCAAATTAGAGATGTCTTCGAGTTCGAGGGGAGGGGGGTGGCAAACCGAGCCAGACAATTTGGTCAGTCGCACTTTTAAACACATTTTAGTTTTGCTATAGAAAATCTACAAATTCACAATCTGATTACATAGAGCAGCAGCAGGAAGCGCGTGAGGTTGTCATGGCAACCAGATACACAGCATGCAAATTATGGCTGCGCTTCTATTTTGCCACACTAAACTTAGAAATAAACACCTTGAAAATAATAGGGTAGACTGAGTACAGTAGAGACACCTTCTGCTTTTTTCATCGCAACACAAAAACTAGATGCCGAAATGATGTGATTTTTCACATATTTCTTTTGCTTATGTACTAAAATATCATAAACTAATAATTTCCATAAGTTTTTGATATTTTCCACAATTAGCTCATAAACATAAGGTGCATTTTTTTCTCAACTGTACCCATATAGGGAAGTTGAAACAGTCACCCATTGACACCCATTCTTAATGCTCTAAAGCTGGCTAACCATTTATTGCAAATGTAATAAATTACAGTTGTGCAATTTTTATTTATTTGCTTTATTTAATTCAGATTCAGTTAAACAATATAGGAACAACATATTTAACACTGGAAAAGATATGGCAAACAGTACAAATGTAAACATAACAGTAAAAATAACAATGTAAATTCTCATGGAAAACAACAAAACTACAGAAAACTACTGGCAATTTCATAAAACACAGTTTTGTATGTTTTTTAAGCCTGTTGTTTTATGGGGACACAGGAAGTGTCCTCATAAACCATGTTTATGCTGTAGTACCCATGTCATTATACACATTTGTGTCCTCATAAACCATATATAACATTATAGTGACATTCCATAAGCAAAAAATGTAACAACATTTTCACATAAGGTTAGAATTTACTGGTATTATTCTTGTGGAGACATCTGGTTCCCATAACGTAGGTAATACCAATACACACACACAGCCTCTGAATATGCATTTTATTTTCTGATGGAACTGTTACTGCATACATAGGATATAAAGGGTGTGTCAACTGTACCCACTTTACCACCTTGTATATTTCACAAAATGCTATGTTATCCTTTTAACATTCATGTTAGAACATATGTCCATTAATAATAGACAGTTGAAATATCACAAATATAATTTTTTTAACATAATATGCGTAGCATGTGTGTAAATGTGACTTTTAACCTATTATCATAACACTGTACCTTTTAACATTCATGTTAGAAAATATGTCCATTAATAATAGACATTTGAAATATCACAAATATCATTTTTTTAAACATAATTTGCGTAGCATGTGTGTAAACGTGACTTTTAACCTATTATCTTAACACTGTACAACTAAACAGCATGTGACGCAATAGGACACCTGTCTGGGTACAGTTGATACACAGTGTCTCAACCGTACCCCACTGACATACTCGCATGTTTCTCTAGATTATGCAAAGACCTTGCATGGCACAATATCATATGTATAATATGTCTATTTTTAGAGCACAGAGTAACGTTTGCAATGATATATGTAAAGTTTAACAGTCATAAAAGGATAATAAGCTATTCATTGTGGAAGGGACATGGTGAAAAAAAACTTTTGCCGATATTTTTGGAATGGAAGGACGCACACCTTTCAAATTTTCCACGATCAAAGAGAATGCTAATACGCATGTGTGGAGCAAAAATCATGGCTCAGGGTTCCTTTGCACGCAAGTTATTTAAGGTGTTTCAACTGTACACATGTCCCAAATGTACTCAATCTACCCTACACAATAAACATGTCTATCAAAATGATCTCAAAGGAGGCTTTTATTAAGCAAATCAAGGAGTGAATTACTCATCCACTGTTAAAAAAAAATACTTTAGCTGGGTTTCCACAGGCAGGGTCACAATTATCTACAGTGTATGAAGCTAAAGGTTTTTGGGTTAAGGTTCATAATGTAGAACATTTTTAACATTGTATGCTGTATGTGCATAGGTAGCTAGCAAACAAGGAATACAGCTGTTAAGCTAAGT